GTCTTTTGTCCATTTTTGCCCGATGCAACCCTTCTTTTTTTGTACTATACACGAAGAGAACTCTTAAACTGGCGCAACACGCGACTCTGAGCAAACTTTACGTAAAATCGTGATGGGAGGGGAGAAAAGGTTGATTTTCAATGAACGCGGACCACCGCTGCTACTTCGTACGCTGAACCCTGGGTAATTGAGGCTCGTTCGTAGCTGTCCGGGGATTTGGGTCGAGAGTGGAATTTATCTCCCCGAGTTATTAAGTATCAAGTGCCTACCGGCTTCTTAATTGCATTCAGAGTTCAATGCTCCCTTTTTCTCGGAGGGAAGGCCGAAGAATTCGATATATCTCGGTTATTTCTAATGTTTTCGAAGGAAAAACTCGAAGACTTAATTATACCACAATCTTTTAGCTAAATTGTTCGTTCCAGATGTAAAGCCATAACCTGCGTTTCTTTGAGAAATAATTGCTTCTTCTTCGTTCTTGCAATATATATGTGTAATTTTTATGATTTTAATTACTAAATACCTCGAATAACTTTGAAAAATTCTCTTCTGATTTTTATAATTACTTGGAACAATTCGCAAGAAAATTGAACTATATATATAATCAAAGAAGAAGCCTATAGATAAATATGATTATATTAAATTCTTTTTTTCTGTAACAGTATCGAGTTTCGTAATAAACCGAATTTTAGGAAATTTTAAATATCATATTTGACGCGCTATTTGGCAAATAGCTCTTTTATGAATATTCAACCCGTTCGCTCAGAGTCGCATCATGCTAATACGCTGCTATCTTTCTCCATCCCTGTGTATGCGTCCAATTCGAATCTTTCTCCGCCGCGTTCCTTTTTTTTTTTTCTTTTTTTCAGTTTTGCTCGTTTCATTGTACCATATACGTATACGTTACATGTTCTTATGAATGTTTGCATCTGTTGTCTGTACTTGGGGCTGCAGCCTGATCCTGTTTTCCCTTCGTAATTAATGAAAGTCGAATGGCGCCGAAATAGACCGCTATAAATACGAGAGCATGAAATGATAAAGAATGGAATGAAATGGGAATGCCACGTACAACAGACCAGTTTTCTTTCCCACGAATTGAACAGAGTGCGCCGCCGCCTCGGGAATGAAAATCGCCTCGGGCCACTCCACAATTGCATCAATTACAATTGAATGCGGAATATAACTTTCGCCGAAGAATTTCAATCTTTTCGATCCGATATTGTTAATCAAAAATTATCCAATAGATATTCGAATATATCTCGAATATATCTTCTCATCGAATTTCCATTCAACTCCATCGTTATCCATCAAATGGAGTATTATCACTCCACTCCACGAATCCGAAAAAGAAAATCCTCCACTTGGCCCAAATTAAATCAAATAAAGGTTTTATAAGCTCGATCAATCGGTAACGCATACATAACCTGGGATCTAGAAATCTGAAAGTCCTTTAATCAAATCGAACGTCAAACGAGGCCCTCGGTCAAAGGGGAAGATTCTCTTCCGCGGTTGAGCACGAAAAAAAATCGTGGGTCAGAGAAAACCGGGAACCCGATAATGAGCCGAGGAGAGATGTGTTCGTCGCGGGGGAAAAGGCGCAAGATCGGTGCAAAAACCCTCGCGCCGTTTAATGAACCGGCGACGATACATTTTTCCGTGTGCATCGGCTCGAAAAAACATTGGAGCCTTCTCTCTCTCTCTCTCTCTCTCTCTCTCTCT